GGAATCTTAAGTGCAGCAGAAATTTTTTTGTAACCTTTGCCAGATCTGTGCCTTGCCACAATTCTGTCTCTGAGCTCTTCAGGCAGTTCCTTTGACCTCATGATTCTCATTTGCTCTGACATGCACTGTGAGCTGTAGGGTCTTGTATAGACAGGTGTGTGGCTTTCCTAATCACGTCCCATCAGTATAATCAAACACAGCTGGACTCAAATGAAGGTGTAGAACCATCTCAGGGATGATCAGAAGAAATGGACAGCACCTAAGTTAAATATATGAGTGTCACAGCAAAGGGTCTGAATACTTATGACCATGTCATATTTCAGTTTTTCTTTTTTAATAAATCTGCAAAAATGTCAAATTCTGTGTTTTTCTGTCAATATGGGGTGCTGTGTGTACATTAATAAGGAAAAAAATTAACTTAAATGATTTTAGCATATGGCTGCAATATAACAAAGAGTGAAAAATTTAAGGGGGTCTGAATACTTTTCGTACCCACTGTATTTACTTGACAAAACAGAAAAAACAACACTAATATGGCTCCATGCATGCTTATTTACTGACATGACCTACTGGGAGCCCGAATTAGTGTTATTAGTAAAAAAAACCCATGCTTTTTCCACCCTGGCAAACAAAAAATATCTGCTACGATCCCATGTGCTTCCAACTTTGTGCCAACAGTTTGTGTTCGGTACTTTTCCTGTTTCCTGTATCCCCTGTGCACAAAGCAAAGTTCATAAAGGTCAAGGTTAGTTTGTTTACAGAGCGCTTTACATAATAAAATGGAATGGAAACAATCACATAAAGAAGATCATAATATAAAGAAAAGGTTTTCCCAGTTTGATGTGGAAGAACCTGATAGGCCTGAACACAGCTCTGCCTTCAACCACAGTGTTGGCATATCGATGCTAAGCCAGGCCTTACACTTTAATGTTTACCTGAGCCACAATGAAAAACAAATGGCTGTTCTGACACCAGCATCACTTATAATTATGATTTTGAGTCCTTTAAAACACTTACAACAAACATTAAATTAAAGTGCTTGCAAATATGAACTTTACACACTAATGTTTTTTTTTCTGACACTGGAGCTAAATATCAAATGATTCATTATCTTGTTAACAATGTCTTGTCAGACCTTTGATGTCCCAAATGACACCCACATTTTGTCTGATTCACACTTCTACACATATCACCCTCACACTGCATTTACCAGTAGCTGCACCAATAGCTTGGACTGAAATGAAGTCGAAAGTTTTGGCTTTTAATTATCCGCAGAATTCTGTCACTTGACAAACTCTGATTGTTTTACCATACAGTCACATTTCAGGTCAACTAAAAGCATGTTTAATTTTTATTCATATAGTTCTATATTGCATAAAATATAAGTTGGAAAAGCTTTGGCAATGGTTCATTGCACTAGTGCGATCAGAATGTCAGAAACGCCCATGTTCATGGTCAACTTCTTGAGTTTTCTCACCTCTGACCCAGTGGGCAGGAACACACACTGTCTCCTCACAAGGTCTCCTAGTTAAATGTGTTTGTGTGTGAGAGAGGGGCCTATGGATGGAGTCAGCAACACATTTTTTTTTAGGATCAGGACAGATCCTTTGAACATGCTGTGTTTACACCAGTTCAAATGCCAGTGTGCCATGATTCACTTTGACACAGCAGGGTAGTGTGAGGTTGCAAGGGAGGAGATCTGGGACTGAATGCGTGTATGTGTGTATGTGGCTTCATACATTTATGCATTTTTTTCTGTTTATGTGTTTGGATGGGTCCTGTTTATAGCATCACGCATACAGTATAAGGTTTATATAAAGTGTGCCAATCTCAAACAATGCAGGAGCACTGCGAACACATACACGGGTGTGCGTAAACACTCTGAATGGAAGGAGCTCCAAGAACCTCTCACATTTACGTACACACACACACAACCTCCCTGAAGATGAAGTCTGGTCGGTGAGCTGGCTGCCTCCCCCAGTTACCCTGGAGCCAAAAACTGTGTGAATACATTACATGTGCACACACGCGACCTTATCTGTCCCACAGCCCCCCTGCGGAGGCTACTAATGCCTGTTTGGTGAGCTGCCTGCCTCTTCACTGCAGCCAAACACTGTGTGATTCCATGATCGCAGCGTGCTCCCAGCGCTGCGCTCACAGCTTGGAGCTGCAGATGACCTTCCACAGAGCAGCTTCTGGTGAGTGTGTGTTCATTTGGGAACAGATGATTGGAATCATGTAGATCTGGCCCTGACCCGTTGTCATGAAGGGAGGACTCAGTAGTGAGCCCACCTCTGGCACGGTTTATTTCAAGACCTCCGTGTCCCGTCCCATCCCACGTCCCACCCTCACGTTGCACTACACCTTCTCCATCAAATCGTTTGACTCGCAGCCAGTGGATAATTAGGCCAAAAATGTGACTCAGATAGGCACAAATTGTCCTTCATTGTCAGTGAGTTGACATGATCCTCCCATTCGCCTGGCAAAGAAAAGCCAATGCTATTAGGTACTGTCATTTGGCCAGCAGCATTTGCAATAAAATAATTATGACAACTTTAATAAATATGACATTATTTTTTTTTTTTTGTAGGTGACAAATATAAACGGATGCAGAGTATATGGTGTTCCACTTAGTAAGTGTTATGTCATCTTTCCTCCTGACACAAATGGAACCAGTCCATATGCTGTGTTAGATCATTTGCACCGCTGGGCTTTCCTTTCACATTCCTTTCTGCTGTTCTGACTTGTAGGCTGTGGCTCTCGGCTTATTTCCAACTCCCCTACACTGAATGAAACAGATGATTTTTTTTTGTCTTTAATGCCAAGTGAGTTTTCCCACTTCTTGTCCTCCTCCAACCCCCTTGTGTTATGTGCCACACATTAATACATGCTTCTTAATAAACAATAGTCATGTTTTAAATATTCTTTGTCTTTATCAAAGCCATTGTTAGTTTGGTCATCCCGCCTCCACTCTTCATTAGCAATCCGCTTCCTCCCACACTGCGCTTTGTCTAAAATGAGGAGTTACTACTGTAAGTAAATTCGGGCTACACCTTTAAATGGTCACAGCTTTCTTCATGTTCATAACAAAACTTATGCATATCTGAGAATGTAAATAATTGCTATTTATTATGCATTTAATTTCCTCAGCATGACCATTAATAGTGTTGAAATAATCTTACTTTGCACAGACAATGGTGCGTTACATTTTAGGTAATGCCACTGTGACAGTGACAAAACCAGGCCTGCTACTGCCTTTCTTGTCTCTTCCTCCGGAGACTCTTACCCCTCCTACCGGGCTGACGTAAAGAGGATCCTGCGCTGCCCACGGCTGTGGGCGAAGACTCTCCACGGGTATAAACAGCTTGCCGAGACTCCAGAACGTCACTGCTTGAAGCCGCAGTGACTCGGCCACCAGAGCTGAACCTCAGCAGAGATAGCAGCAAGCAGGCACCTCCACGCCGCGCAGGCTAACTCGCTTTCGGCTTTGGTCCGAGATGGAAACTCGTTGGAACACGAAGGGCTCCAGCGCCCGCAACTTTAAGAGTAAGTTGCTCTCCGTCATGCACACGCAGTTTGATGCGCCGAGGGTTTTTGATTTTGCAAATGCATTTCTGTGATTTAGCTGGTTTATAGCAACTGGTAACTCATTTCTGTGCATTTTAAAAACTGATTACAAGAACATTTACATTTCAACATTTAGACCGCTGTAGTGTTTCCATGCTATCCTGGGAAACAGCCTGGTAACTGCTGAATTTATAACTTTTGTGTTGCTTTTACGCACAGAAATATGGGGTATATTTTGAATCGTATACCAAAATTTGCGTGCATTCTACAGTCATTTAGATTTAAGTGATGTTTTTCAGTTTTGGGTCTCACAGTTGAGAGGGATGTACCCTAGAGGGAACCAGAAGTGTGTGCTTTGGGGTATTCTGGGCGCAAATGATGTCTGTCATGTATAAGCTCTTTAGAATTTCGAAGGCATCCCTCTATATGTGCATTTGTGGGATGGCTTTATATATAACGAGAGGAACTTTCCACTACGTGATCAAAGTTTATTTCTTATGGCTCATGTAAAGTTTACCAAGACCGTTCATCCAATCTATCTAGATCTCCTTTATGCATGAAGAATTATATATAGGCACATTATTCTTCATCTCACGTCGACTTTGGGCAAATACGACTTAGGAGGTTTCTAGAAAGGTGTCCTATTCCATCTAAACGAGTCAACTCCAGTTCTTCCTCAGCATCCCGCACAACTAATAGTTCAACTTAAGAGGTCAAAAGGTGAGGTGCTGGAAAATCTTGCGCTTAACAGATGAATGAGAACTTCATTATTATTTTATATATGTACTTTGGGAGCTATTTTTGCGCCCAGTTGTGCCAAGAAGCTGCGCAATTATTGATAAGAAACGAAACCGATCCGGGTCTGGTTACCTGTCTAACACATACCACCTGCGTGGAAAATCGCTCAGCTGAAACCAACTGAAACATCCTTGTGTGAGAATTTAAAGTAGCGAAGCATGCATTGGGGTGTGGGGGGGTGGGGGGCATAGATTTATGTGTTTTTTTTTCTTTTTTAAATTGCTGAAATGTAATTAGTTAACGATGCAACAACCGTCATGGAAACATGTAAAGTGATCTGGTGGACATGAATATGTGAACGATTTCTGTAATGTAATCTGGTGCCTTAAAAATGAATTATGTATAAGCCACAGAGGAGCACCAACAAGTCATGGGTGAGAACACAGCAGTGGTGAAAAGAATCACTGACGACAGGTCTGAAAGACAGACAGTAAAGAAAGGCTGGTGTCAGAAGCTGAAATCAACCTCTTTTTCTTTGTGTATCTTTCAAACAACACACACACACACAATATGCATGCTTCAACTGGGACAATGGCCCCTTGCTGCTAATCTGACTTTTCCTCATGAGAATGACCCTCCTCTGTTTCCCTCCAGGTGGACTCTCCCTGTGGCTGATTCTGTGGCTGGTGGTGAAGCCAGGCGGAGTGGCTGCATGCCCTAAACTGTGTGTGTGTTACCCCATGCCCATGACGGTCAGCTGCCAATCCCAGAATCTCACCATAGTGCCAGCAGGTGTGCCCTATGACTCACAACGTGTTTTCCTGCAAAACAACCGCATCACAGAGCTTCGCGCAGACTCCTTTGGCTTTGAGACCCAGGTAAAAATGGCAGTGTGTGTGTGTATCTCTGCTTAATTCCCCACAAGTATTTTGAAAAACGTAATTTTTATTAGTGTACCCACAACCCATCATTTTCTTTTAATTCTGTGCAGGTGCTTTGGTTATATGGCAACAACATCACATGGATCGAGGCCGGGGCCTTCAGTAACCTCAGGGTGCTGGAGGAGCTGGATCTGGGTGATAACCCCTCACTGCGGCACCTGGAAGGAGGAGCTTTCAGGGGCTTGGAGAAGTTGCAGAGCCTGCACATGCATCGCTGCAAGCTGGCCACTCTCCCCCATGACCTCTTCCACAAGCTGTACAGTCTGCAGTTCCTCTACCTGCAGGTAAAGCCAGCATGCACACTCATACACACACACACACACACACACACACACACACACACACACACACACACACTTAAAGTACACGCATTTGGTGTATACAGATACATGTCAGTTAGTCATGCATGAGTTTGGACTCAGTGCTAAACACACTTTGATTTATGGGCACATCAGTCACTGTGCAGTTGCTCACAAGCAGGCTGCAGACCCACACACATGCAGACTTTTACACTGTACTTGTTACAGGACTGCTTTAAGTAGGTTCCATGAGACGCTCATAGCGCACAGCTACAAGCGTAGTAATGCAGAATGTTCTTAGGAAGATCTGGAACCAAAGTTAATTAAATCCTCTAGAGACACAATTAGCACTATAGTGCTAATTGTTAGCACTATAGTGCTAATTGTTTGTTTTGCTACTGTTTGTTTGTACACTGCTTATTTTGGTGCTACTAATAGATGCAGTAGCAGCAAAACAAAACTGAAATTTCTGCTAAACTTATGTTATTAAACAAGACAAAAGATTGCTCTCAGACTGTGGGTGATTAATTACACAGAATTACCAATGTAGCAAAGTGAATGGTTGCCAAAACCTCCATGTACATATACATGTGTGTATATTTCATTTAAAGAAGCAGTTTTAGCTGATGAAACAAAATCAAACTAACCCACAGGAAAAGGCTGTAAAAATATATTATAAAAGAAGACCAGCAAGAGGCTACCACACAGAGGAAAGCATACAGAAGCCCCCCTGTATTTGTATGAATTCATTTAAAAGAAATGCTAAAAATGTTTTAGAAAGACAATAAAAACTCTGCTTTTTTACACAGCACTTAAAACCCAACACAGTAGAACCACATAGCTTTCAGACTATATGCTTACTATTTTTACTGAATTCCTAGTTCTCAGGCAGTGATTTGTTTTAGGGTAATGTTAAAATGTACTTGCAGAGATATCGCCTTCCTTCTTCTTTTTGGCAGCTGACAGTGAGAGCTCAGCTGCTGAAGTGTCTTTGAATGCAGTCAAAAAACAACTCTCTGCCAAGAATTAAAAAAAAAATCCCTCCTACGTTCACTGTGACAACTGTAAAGCTACTTTCAAATAGGACACGCCTCACATGCACATATCTGATAACTTCAGAGGAATCAAGCGCTGTAATATAGATGCAGGACCCCAGTGATTTTTAAAAGAGAAATAAAAATAACACAAGGTCAAGAGCTTCTAATCAGTTCTAAATGTATGGCTCAATTAAATGTTTTATATCCAGCTGTAAAGCACCTGAACAGTTTAAAAGAGGGGAAGGGAACTTTTTGCCAACAACAACTAAACCCAACAACCTTAATTCACCCACATTCTTTTTACAACAATAAATCTTCCTTTATTTTTACTTTGCTCCAGGAGAATCAGCTCCACTTTCTGCAGGATGACCTATTCTCAGATCTGGTCAATCTCACCCATCTCTTCCTGCATGGAAATCGCATACGTACCCTCTCTGAGAATGTGTTCAGAGGCTTGGTCAACCTGGACCGCCTCCTTCTGCATGACAACCGTATCAGGCAGGTCAACCGTCGGGCTTTCCGTGACCTTGGCCGCCTCACCATCCTTTACCTGTTCAACAACTCTCTGGCTGAGCTGCCAGGCCAGGCCATGAAAGATACCCAGGGAATCCAGTTCCTCCGCCTCAATGGTAACCCCTGGTCCTGCGGCTGTGAGGCCCGTACCCTCTGGGAGTGGTTCCGTGAGGCCCGCATCTCCTCCTCTGAGCTCATATGCACCTCCCCATCCCAACGCCGCGGCCAGGACCTCAGATTCCTCCGTGAGCTGGACTTCGTCCTCTGCCCTCTGCCTGACCCAGGCTCTCTGGCTGGAAGCACCACGACCACTTTTAGCACCAAGACCCGCTGGTGGTTCTCCAAGAACAAGCCCGCATCGTCATCCAAGACCTTGTACCAGAAGAGCAGCGAGACGGTGAAAGCCTTCCCCTTCAATGCTGTCAAACCTCAGTACCCACCCAAAACCCCAGCAGAATCATTCTCCTCCAAGTATGAACTGTCAGAGGATGAGGCTGCACTCCCCAAGGTGGACCAGGAAGAATACTGGACCAACTACGGCAACGAAGACGCCTCCATCCGTTGCTTTGAGCTGGAGTGCCCCCCAGGCTATGACTCAGCCTTCTCCTCCTCTTCCTCTTTAAACATCTGTCTGCCCCTCCTCCACTTTCTCTCCCTCTCCATTGTCACATTCTCCCTCCATTTCCTTTTTGGCTGAACTCTTCTCTCCTCCACACCCCTTTCTTCCTCTGATTTCTCCCCCTGCTCCTTCCAACTCTAACAACAACCTGGATCTTGATTCCTTTCACGTACCTCCCTGAGGTGCAGGGGTTGCTATACTGACACAGGAGACAGGCAATGCAGCATGGAGCTGTTTTAACTAGCAAAGGTTAGTTGAGCTGATAATGTGTAGGACAGGATTTCAGTGCTGAAGTAGCTGCTGCTTACCAGTAAAGGCTCTATAAAAAGGGGAATCACATCATGGAGCTCTGACAGCGACAGTACAAAGGCGGAGACCTACGACATGAGAGAGACAGAACATAGACAGCTGTCGAGGTCCTCAGATGTTTTTAGATATCACAGCTGTAAACAACGCAGGCACTGTGGTTCATCAATACTTGTTTTCTATATCAGTTAGTGCGCATCATTCAATCACTGCTAACATTATCCCTCACTAATTTCTTTCTTCCATCATTACACATAAAAGTGGTGATTAATAAGTAAAAAGACACAATCAAGAGTAGGAGAAAGAGATGGATTAACACAGATGGTGAGGGAGGAAAGAAAAGAAAAAGGGGAAAAGAAAATCAATGCAATGTGAGGAGAGTGACATTTAGATCTTCTTTTAAAGACAGAAAAACATGAAAGATCTGCAGCCAAGAGCGATTCTCCTTCAGATTCAGTCTTGTGTGATCACAGAAATGCCTGCAAGCCACCTCCACCTCCCACGCTTGTACATACCACACATCATTACTGTACATACACCCATCAAACTGCTCTGTATTTTAGCTGGATTTGTACTTTTTTCAGCACCATTTAGTAAACAATAGCTTGGTGGTAGAAGAGATACTAGATACTAAATGGAAGGTGCAGAAACTCTTCTTTGGCTCCTCATCTTTTCCACATTTTGTCACTTTCTCTTTCTCTTTCTGTTCCCAAATTCCCAGACTGAACTGAAAATCAAAAAAAAAAAAAAAGAATGAGGTGAAACATATCAACATTTAGCATAAACTGAAAAAAATAGATGCTCACTACCAAAAAGGGAAAGGCTTTTAATATAGATTCAGTTTGTTTTTTGTGTTTCTGTTTTTGCTGGGGTTGTGTGTGTGTGAAAAGACTAAAAGGCCAAAGTCCAGGGAAGATCAGTTTGATCAGGTCTCTTGTTAAAGTGAGCACTTGCTTGTGTGTCTGTCTGTCTGTGTATGGCTGAATGTTGAGTCTTTTATGCACTACACATTTCTGGGACCCAAAACTGTTTCACAACCAACTGTATATTTTTAAAAATGTGAATTGGTGTATCTTTTTTTAAACAATTTTCTGAACATATTTGGTAAATCCAATGATTTTATCTGATTTCAGTGACATATCTGTATATTATGGTCATACACACCATGAAAAGATCATGGCAATCAAGCTGTTTTGCATAAAATCATTTCTCATGTATTAAAGCTGCATTTTGTTAGAGAACCTGTCTGACTCCAGTGTGTGTCTTTAGAAAATGCAAGGGGTATTTGTTCTACAGTCTGTTCAGCACAATGCCAGTCCGACCTGACTGAGATCAGCATTTATTACGGAGGCCATATGTTCCTTGTCAACCCCATATGTTAAATCTGAATCAACCTGAGTCATGACTGAGTTTCTGCCTAGAACATGAAGTATACTGTGATGCTGCATTTTTTCAGTGGAGAAATGTGTTAAGAAAGTGTTTTGCTTTATTTAAAAAATAAAGAAATGCTCAAACAGAAGTGAATTGAAGTTTCTTTGTTGTTTCATTGTCATCTTTGTTCACTAGGGATGATATGATAACTGAAAAAGGCCATGGGAAAGTTAGTCAGCAGGCACATACTGTAAGCACAAATGCAATACACACAGATGAAATAGATAGAAGACATTTACTTGACAAATTTGGTTTGAGTATCAAAGCATATAGTTGACAGCAGTGTTTGAATCGGAAGTTTTGTACATACACCCATCAATGGAAGTTTTGGCTTGATAGCCTACTGTTGTTGTTTCTTTTTGCCACAGAGTATTTTCATTTTTCAGAAGAAGAAAGGGCTCATAAAGATGAATGTGGTTAGAGTCTTCAGAGCAGCAAGATGTTTTTATTTTGACCAGCTCTGACACCTTTAGGTAATTAGAAGCAGGGCCGTCTGTAAATCTTTTTAAAGATAATCACATCACAGCATCCCTGTCAAAAGAAAAGGGAGGTGATATTTGTTGTGTGTGTGAGCAGTGTGTGAACTGTAAGCAACCCATGTGACAGTGTGAGTGTATGTGGTGAAGGTCACTAATCTCTGCTGTGTTCACTCCTCGCCCCAGTCACATCATGTGCAGAAGGCTTCTATACTGGGACATATTATACAAGGAGATGGGTGAATGAGTTGTCAAGCTTGCGTGTGTGGGTTCAGAGTGTGTGGAGAGGGGAGGGGGCCTGAGGTATGATTCAGGGTTGGGGCAGAATGGGGAATGCGCCAGGATGAAAAAGTGACAATGTGTCCCGGAATCAGCACACCCCCTCAACAGATTAATTCTCACCATGATGATGAGGATGATGCACACATGTACAAATACACATTAACACATGATGCAAAAAGAACAGATCAGACAAGTTTGACTGATCGACTTGTACATCCACATTGAGTCTTTTTGTCTCAGTTCACAAATAATTTACCACTTTCACACCTGATTTTACTCCCACCTTTCCTTCATTTGCTTTTCTCTTTTGGTGTTTCCTTCCAGATAAATAAGCAATAAATCATCAAACCCACATACATTCTTGTTTGTAAGTACATCTTTCTTTCAGAACTTCTAATTTCATCTGTTCTTGAGGTGGTTAACCCTGGCAGGAGTTCTACATTTATTGAGTCAAATCTGGGATGTTGACCTCAGAAGGATCTTTAATTAAATCTGCACTAAGATGACATACAAACTGTCTCACCACCATTTATCAATAAGGTGTTATGTGTATTACTTTGTTATGTTATTTGTATTTGTTATTGTACTATTCACAGATCTATCTCTCTTTTCACCCAAAAATAACAAGTTTACACCTAAAAATGTGGAAATGTGGAAAATCACAAACGGAAGCAGAAGCAGCTGAGACTGTCTGAAGGAAACTTGGTTAAACTGCAGACTAAACCAAGCCTGCAAGCAAACCAAGCATACAATAACATAATGTGGACTTTTTTGTAGATACCAGGACATTTAGTGCCTTGATTAAAAGTAATTAACTGCTAAATGTATAGATATATACAATGTATTTCTGTCTTGAAATAGCACAACTTTCTATTGTGTTTCACTGTTACATTTTGTAGGGATAAAATCCTCTTTTTATCTGCTTAGTTAGCAACGGGGTGAGGTGGGTGGTGCGCTAAGAAATAAAGGCTGAACTTAAAGAAGGCTGTAGATAGCAGACAACCAAGCAATATGGTAGACTTGGAACAAATAAGCCATGAAGAATTGGCTAACATAGATACAAACGCTGGTCAGAGGGTATCTATAGAGGTTGGAGGAGTTCAGGGAGGACATACAAAGTATTAGAGAACATTTCATAAAGGTGAATGCAAACTTTTGCACCGATATGATTTTTTTATTATTTTATTATAACTGTTTATTTATACACTCTCTGACCATTTTTGTTACTTCTGTTGATGAATGAACATTTGTACTAGCCCAGGGGTGGCCAATTCCAGTCCTCGAGGGCTGCTGTCCTGCTTGTTTTCCAACTATCCCTGCCTGACATGCTGCTGATTACCTGGCTCAGGTGTTTTCAGTCAGTCAGAAGCTGGAAGATACCAATTCACTTTATCTTTCCTCACTTCACTTTCATCTAAGATGGCATCTTCCAGCTTCTGACTGGCTGAACACACCTGAGTCAGGTAATCAGCAGCAGATCAGAAAGGGATTAGTTAGAAAACAAGCAGGACAGCGGCCCTCGAGGACTGGAGCTGGCCACCCCTGGGCTAGTACGAATGTTCATTCATCAACCATCAAGATACCATCTTGACAGAGCCAGTTTAGCTGTTTCCCCCTGTTTTCAGTCAGGTTTGGGCTTATGTTATGTAAAAAGACACTGCACTTTAATGAATGAATTTCACAGAGCTGTGCAGATGGCAGTAGTGGAGGTGAACAACACCTCTCAGCTCTTTCTGCCGGGGTTAACCACCTCAAGAAATGCACGTCAAAAAATTGTAACCAAAGTTAAGGCCCCTCTCCTATTTTCAAGTTACTCTTTCATGGCAGAACTGTGGGCATGACAGAAAATAAGGGGATCATGAGACTTACTGCTTTTCTGGTGCAGGAGTGCAAGCAGGCCATTAGCAGAGAAAATTTCTCTGAAATCTTCAGACTTTGATGATGTGCGCTTATCATATACTGTGCCCACTCATTCTCGCCCAACTCTGCTTCCTATTTTTCCTGTTTCTGCCTTTCTTCTTTCTTTTGTGTTAGCCTGCCTTTCATATGCTGTCACTTAGTCTTTGTCTGAACCCTTATCACTCCAGCTTATTTCATTCCCTGTCACACAGTCTCCCTTACATGGTTATGTGCATCTTGTGTGTGTTGGCTCATACGTATTTACTTGCATGTCATCACTGACGTTAACCTTCTCACATCTTATTTGCAGAGAACACACCCTGACGTCAGAAGGCCAGGGAAGGAAGCAGAGAGAATGAGAGAGACAGGGATGGAATTAACTCAGTGACCACCACTGCATGCAAAGTGTTTACCCTGAGAAATAGTAATATAAAATAGAGAAGTTGTCTTATCTTGAAATTACAGAACAGAACAGGTTAATAACTGCAGACTGACAAAGCTGAGCTGCAGTCACTGTGACAACTAATCTATCACATCCATAATTGATAAACATCATTTTCAACACTATTCAGCTGGTCGACTCCCATTGTCCAGCATGTGGAAACGTGAGCCTCTGGGGCAGTGAACCTGTGCTCCAGAAAGTTCACCAAACGGAAGAGGAAGGAAAAAGAGCGGGGCCAAGCAAAGAGATGAGGAGATACCTGGATAATCTGAATAAATCATTTTGAGTGGAAACACTGACTATTCCCACAGAAACAGTGAGTGAATAACTTCAAGTGCTACCAAAATGACAAGAAGGACATCCAGTGGGAAACCTGCAAAATATTTGATTATTACATTATGATTGCTTTTAATTGAGGAGCAAAGTAAAGGATTCTGTCACAACCTCATCTACTCCCACAGTGCATGTCATAGAGAACAAGACTGAAGAGATAAAAACTACAGCAACAAATTTACTGGTACAATTAAACTAAATACATTTTTGTACTTCAAATGATATTGGAGTTTTTAACTCTTCAGTGCTTTTAACTCATACAGTTTTATTTCATGAAACTAGTTTTGAATTGGTCTTTGTAAATGCTAGAGACACACTTGAGAGGTTCATGTAATCCTTCATATGCAGGAAAAACAAAAGTAAACTAATGTGAAGCTATAGTCACATTTATAGTAGGTAGAATAAAGCATGTATCATAGCAATGTATTAAATGTAAATTTAAAAGCAATATAACAACGTGAAGTTGCTTTTTAACATAACTGATTTAATGACTAGACACAATATTTAACATCAATCACGCATCCACTGTAGTAGACATATGATTATTCATAATTTTCTATTTGTCAACACATCAATATTTGAAGAATATACCAATTATATTACCTAGATGTTACTTGATATCACCATATTTTTTTTAAAATCTGCAATAGTCTTCTTCTGTGGAAGGACTAGTCAGATGTTCCTGAGGTGCTTGGCACACCTGACACTTTGTTGGCCATCTTGGATGTTGGGGTTTTTAGTTGCACAGACACTTGCTCCGCACTAGGTGGTGCCTGGGTCGTCCCCTGCAGTAACTCATACAGAGGTACACAACTGAAACCCATATATGTTCAAGAAGTTGTCATTTTTTCCACTGCAGTGACCACCATGCATTAAAAGGTTAGACTAAATTCAATTTATTGAACTTGCTTGTTCAAAAAGAGTCGACTCATTTGATTTCTAAGTAATGAGCCATCTTTGAAGTTTCCACATTTAGTACAACTCACATCTTAAAGGCAACAGGGGAGCTTGCAATGCTTTGCAGTAAAGTAAGTGTTTAACAGATCTGCAGCAGGATTATAATGAAATCAAACATCAAAATATATCCTTTTCAGGTGGAGAATCCTAAACAATCAGGAAAGCAACAAACAAACAAAAAAGACCACATTTTTAAATGAAAAATACTCTGTTATTGCTCTTTTTCTTGCTTGTGTGTGTGCGCACACAGAAATAGCCAATGTGTGTGCTCTGATTTTTGGATAACACTGTGAGTTGTAGAGGCAGCCAGAAGCCTTGAGCCAGTCATAAGTTAAAAAAAGAGAGAGCAGGGTGAAGACGGGGCACGTCTGTCTGACAGTCTGTCCACTTTTCTGAAGGTTTACGCACAAGGCTAATAATACACTGCAACAGCATGCGAAGACAGATCGGGATCCAAAGAGATTTAATATGCCTTTGTGTATGGTCTGTTTCAGGAAGAGATACAACGACTGAAATATTTAATCATATGGCAGCGTCAACAAGAGTTAACATGACTGCACAGCCAAGATGAAGTGTGGGTCTTAAGGGTTTTTGTTAACAAGACAACAAAAGAACAGTGATTAGATTGTGAGTCAGTCTCACCGCCTCCCTCTGGGAGGTTGTTGGCACAGACGCAACTTGTGACGTCCTTTATACAATTTGTTTGAGTGCCCAAAAATGTGACAGCCGCATCCACTGTGAAAGACACAGGGATTGGGTATTGCTATTCCGGTAACACCATATTTGCTTTTGACTTTTGAGTATTCAAACACATCCATCTGTTGCTCTGTAGGGTTATCTCTCACTTTCCTATTTGGTTGCGGTCTTTGACCCATCCCTGGCATGTTATCATGGGGATTATGCAAACTATACAAGTATGAACACAACCCTTGAGACTTGCATGAATCTGTTTGCAAAGGAAATTATACAGATCTTCAGATGAAAATGCTAGAAGGAGGAGTTGGTCTCAAAGTATATCTAAGTTTTGGCTGGATGAGATGATGCAGACATGAGATCAAAAAGTCTCAGGTCTCAGTATATGATCTCTGTATCCAACGTGGCTTCTTATATGAAAAATGTGTAACAGTGCATCGCATGTAATACTATATGTCATCAAATAAACTGTGATCCCATTACTGGAAACAAAATAAAAAAACATACACAAGTCCAGTGATGGCTTCTATCTTAAGCTACCTTGTCTCATTCAGCTCACACCTCAACCTGTGGATGTACCATCAGCTGGTTGTGTTGGCATCATATTGGAACAGCAGCTGGTGACTGCATAAAAGAGGCTATGAGGATTTGGCAACTGAGAACCAAGATTTCTTTTAAATCTGTCCTGGCTGTAAGAGCAGAAAAAGATTCTCTAGCAAAGTACACCAAGGGTTACAAAGTTCTGACATATTACAAGACTTTGAAATAGCTACGCTTATGAAGTTTTCTTCAGTTAATTATTTGCGTTAATTAGATGAATTACTTAAATAGTCTTATATTTCATATGATGATGGCATGGTAAAATAGGCCTATTGATTTTTCAACAAAATGTTTATCTAAATAGCCTTATCTATCTGTAGTGGCCCTGAGTGCAAAACACAACACAAGACAAAACCTAACAAAACACACCCTGTTTACAAGAGAAAAACAACAACAAAAACAAAACAGAATTTAGAAAACAAAAAACATCATTTTACAAAACAAAAGAAAACCAGAAACGCAACAACAAAAGCGAAAATAGACTACATTTTACAAAACACTGTGATTTCTTTTCGAATTGATTATTTATTTATTGTCTTTTGTTTTGTCTTGTTCAGTGTTGTGTCTTACCACTCGGGGTCACTGTAATATATGTTTCTTCTTTGTATAGTTACAATTTGCACTGCATTTATGCATGTAATGTATGTTGCTACACGTAATATTTAGATTTTAACCACGACTAATGAAAACCTGAAGTTAAATCGATGAAAATGCCTTAGAGGAAATCTGACTAGTAATGGTTGTAACCGTCAAATTGAACCCCCCCATCCATGCAACAGAATGGTATGATCGACGTGCGCGCGGAAGTTTGTAACTGCAATGGCGTCCAAAGCAGGTGGGTGTTCTATTTATTTCTGTGTTTTGTGAATGTTTACCTTCAACATAAACAACTAGGCAGTTAATCCGTATTCATGGTTTGTTTTATATCATACTTCCAGCCGATAAACGCACACTGTGTGTTGCACCGCTTGTTACAACGTGTTGTCTTCTCAATGTTGTAGGCTGGGTGGTGCATTGGAGTTAACGTTAGCTTCGTGGCTAACATTAAGTTGGAGCAGCTACACAGTAGCTAGAGTTTCAACGCTAATGTTCAATAAACGATATTATCATCAGTGTCCGATGTTGCTCACAGTAAATGATTGATAGTTTGGGTCAGCTGGACTGACTTTGCTGTTTTGTCCAACGTTACTGCCCTCGACCACATTCCCTTTAATTAGTCGTTATTAAAAGAACAGTCTGTGTTTGTATTTAGGTCGTCGAGGGACAAAGCGCAAAGCAGAGGAGGAGAAACCATCCATGGAGGAGAAAAGGGACAGAGAAGGGGAGAACGGACAACAAGGCCAAAGGGTGGTCATCGAACACTGGTAGGCACTTCATTCACATCATAATATTTATTTATATTATCTATTTGTCAATCCCCCAAATCTAGTATGTGTTACAATATTTTAAGCACAAACAGGATTTATTAGCCATTATGAAGCTATGTTTCACTACTGCATATGTAGTTTATTCTGTTACTATGCAACATTTTATAACCTGGACAGATGCAGTTGCAACTGTCCATATTCTATTATTTCCCTATTTTTAATCAAGCTGTCAGTTATTTTCTGTTAACTGTTTGATGTCAGAAGAAAAATGTCCACTATATTCTCCCAGTGTACAAGGTGAAATGTTCAAATTGCTTGTTTTATTTCACCAACAGTTCAAAACCCAAAGACATTCACTTTTTGATTTTAAAAAAGCATTACTACACTTATTCACCATACTTGATTTTGAGATGTGTTTACAGTATTTTGAATGCGGTGTGTCATTTCGAAGGAGATAATGAAGCATTTTGTATGTGCAGTTTTTTGATTTGTGTGTAGAGTTTTGAAAAAAAATGACACCTTGCTTCAGAAAATGTGAAAGCTGATGTAAAAAAAAAAAAAACAGTGCAAGAGCACAGTATAAAATTGAAAAACTTGAAAGTACAATTACTTCAAAGTTGTACTTAAGTAAATCTATGTAATTTTTTTATATAGCCATACTGCTGGGTGACTTTGAATGGTATATGCAAACGTGTGTCTAATGGTTGATCTGTTGTTTATGGCAGTAAGAGCTGACGAGTGTATGGGCGTAATGCTGAGGAGGTGAAATCTGCCCTCCTGGCTGCCATCCCTGGACTGACTGTGGTCGTCAACCCTGAAAAACCACGCCGGAACAGCTTTGAGATCACTCTGCTGGATGGAGGCAAAGGTGAGGAGGACCAAATTACAAACTGGCTACATGACTGTTTCATGTCCGGCCTCTTTTGTTCTTTCTAATGACAGTTTTCTTGTGTCTCGACCTTAAGAGACACCTTTGTGGACTGGAATAAAGAAGGGTCCACCTCGTAAGCTGAAGTTTCCTCAGCCAGACGTTGTAGTTGCTGCTCTGCAGGAGGCTCTGAAAGCTGAGTAGACGCCCAGTGAAGGTTTGTCATTTCAAAGCTTTCAGACAGCAGATATGAAAAACACTAGATATAAAATTAATGAGGGATTACACACAAAATTTACTTCATTCAGTTATAATAAATAGAAATGCATACTTAAATGAAACTTGAGAACATTCTATTTGAGGTAAAGTTAAGGAACCAAACAACAACTAGTTGGTTAATAAGCTGGTTGATGAACAGCAAATCAGTCGGTATTTATTTTGAGGAATAATTTCTTGCTTAACATCCTCTAGTTCCAGCTTCTCAGATGTGGTGATTTGATGCTTTCCTGTGTTTTCTGTGATAATTAAAATATCTTTAGATTTTGGACTGTAGGATGCATTACAAGGGAAGTTTGAGTTAGCCTCCGATTTGTGAATCTGAATTAACATTTTAAAAAAGCTTTTTCTTTACCATGTGAACATCTCTCCACAAACTCATAGAAGGCCTTAAAGACTGGCTTTTTAGGTTTTGTGCTATTATTAGTTGTTCTCACCAGTATCCTCTAAGATACTGCAGCAGTCGGTGCTGATGAGTATTTGAATTCACAGATCCCTGATTTATATTCACTTGTGTCATAACCTAAACTTGGATTTCCTTTCACGTCTTAGCAGTTTATGAGTCAGCAGCATAGGGGACACAGTAACTGCTTGTTAGTCAAGCTTATTACACAGTCAACCTTCAGCAATTAGACTGTATCTAACAGACTCTTTACTCTCAGTGGTAAGCAAAATGGTGTGGACCCATCTGTAAGATGAAATTAACTGGTCTGAAATCAAAAGATAGTTTGCTGTAATCTGTGAATGTAAATTGTGAAAGTGTGGAATCTATTTATAAGCCACACACAAAATGTAATTATTTTACCCTCATACTTTGCAGAAATATCTGTGCTGCTTTTGGTTCAGACTGATGGCCTTATGGGATCCTGAGGCTGATTTTAAAATAATTCTTGTCTTGCATGTAGCCAAGAGTCCAGGAGATGTGGCCTGTGGAAACAGAATGATGAGGAGTGACCAAGGAGATGTTCTCAGTCCCTCTTCTGATGATCCAAGTTTCAACAGTTTGCATCTTTTAGGTACATGGCGACACCTAGTGGAGCGTGTCTGAGCCAACACTTTTCTCTCAAGTCATGCTGTTAAGTGTTGTACTCCTTTTTCTCAATGTTCATTGTGCATATAAATCGGTCTTTGTTAAATAAAGTTTTTTTTCCTTGGTTGTGTGGATGCAGGTTTGTAGTTTTTGCTTTAGCAAAGCTGTCATTTATATGTGGGAATATTTGTATTTTTGCAGTTTCAGGAATTATATTAAAGTTTAAAGACTCACTAAAGAGACATTTTTTTCTGTATTGGGTTGGATTTATGTATGTATACTGCTAATCTGATTATGGTACCCAGTACATTTCTCAGGTTAATGCATTCTGCAAGTATAAAATTTAATGGGCCCAATATATATTTTTTCTGTTTCAAAAATGACAAGAAACCATAAATAAATTGTATCTCACGATTCAGGATTATCCCTGAGCACATGTTGCAAAAACTAAACTCTTGGGTATTACTACTGATGAGAAGATGTCTTGATGTAATGCCACCAACAAAAGTACATCTAAAATGTGAAGAGCAATATCTGCTATTAATATGGTCCAGTGCAGCTAAAGAAATTTTCCAAACCTTCAGATAGTCTCAAACTGCTCATTTAAACAGTGGGACGATGAAATGCATGTTTGTTTATTTTTGCGGAGGACAGACTTGTGTACAAAATTAGACAAGTGACAACCTAACTTGTGTGGACATTCAGTGGAATAATTTTCTATAATTTATTAGGAAATCACTTAAGATTGCTTTTAAGGGAAGGGATTCTTTATGAATCAAATACACTTAATAGCATAACCTTGTTTTATTGTAGCCTATCAACTGTTTTATATGCAAGTACACCCACAGTATACAGTGTTAACGTCTATACTCGTACCCTTATCATAAACATCTGATGTAGGCTATATAAATTTATGAACATAGTGTACATAAACTGCTTTTACTCTAGAGAGTTTTCTGACACATAAGTGAATGACATCCACTTTATTCTGTATAATAACATGTAAGTCATCCACTTTTTTGGCTTATTCACATCCAGTGCCTCACGTTAACACTTGTGACTGTGTCAAGACGAATTAAGTTTTCCTGTCAAGTATATTTTCTCCTGCAGCTAAAACGTACTGAAGTAGCCGCTAACAAATCACAAAAATAGTCTTCTTGCACTAAAGTTACTGTCAATGTTTGACTCAGACTCTTTCTCGGTTTTAGAGGGCTGCGCCTATACTAGAAACTATAGTTAGAAGGAGTAACAGACGTTTTCAGCCGACGTTTATATCCTGCTATCATTGGTTGTTACGGAAGTGACCTCATCATAACGCGACTAGTCACGTTATCGAGTCCTCATGAGTTCATAACATTTAATTCTTCAGTAAGGCCCGTTATTAGTACGTAAGTACTATATATTTATGGCAAACAATCCGCATTAACCTAGCAGTGTGGGAGTAGATTAGTGACATTTGGAACCTTTGTAGGTAGCCCCTACGACTTTGTTTCTTACGTTAGTTTGGCTAAATTAGCTAGTCTACTGATTGCTAGCTGGTCTGTGTGTGAACGATGGGTGCAGTTATTTTTTGTAATTGTGAGCTCATCAATGTTAACATGTTCATACATCAGAGATGTTTCCTAGTATAGTCAACGCTTAACCCAATAACGTTACACGAGTGTGTCCGGTACTAAGGAGCAGAGGTTGAAAATTGAGATACCAATAAGATTCAAGTTATCTCATAAGAAACATTCATTTTTGGACTCGTGGGAATTATAGAGTAAACTCTTTAGTGTCTGGACTATAACATTCAGATGCCGCATCAAAAATAAGTAAATGAAGGAAAAGTTCACTTGTTTAAAATGTTCAAGCATCTCGTCACAACCGCAGTTATGACTTAATACAAAAGGCTGTAAAGAGGCAAAACATAACTCACATAACTACCCGTTGAGACCACTGTCCTGTACTTTTAAAGCAGTGCCGTTTTTCTTCCAAGCATTTTGGAGAACTTGCCACAGTTGCTTATCTCTTCACATAATCCCAGATTGACTTCATGATGTTGAAATCAGGGCTCTATGGGGGGCATACCATCTGTTGTAGGGCTCCCATTTCTTCTTGTCAGTGAAGTGATGTCTTTACTTTTTGAACTTAAAAAAAAATAGAGAAAAAGTAAATGATTGTGATTGAATTCTCTCACACTTTACATACATCTGCCAGGTATCTGTCACATAGACTTCTCTTCTCAGTCATGGCAGCAGAGGGTGTGGAAAAGGTGAGTGATGATGCTCCAGCAGCTGGGAAGGTCAGCACCAGGTATGACCTGGAGAAGGAGACTGAACTTCGTTTTGAAGTGGAGGCCGGGGAGGCAGCGGAGCAAGTAGAACTGGAGCTCATTGTGGGAATGGCTGAGGTGTTTGGCTCAGAACTGAACCGCAACAGGAAGTACACATTTGGACCAGGCTCCAAGATTGCCGTTTTCACCTGGCAAGGCTGCAGTGTGAATCTTTATGGGAAGCCAGAGGTGAGCACCTAGAGGATGGTCTATGCAGATGGTTAACATTTTTCCGTGGGTTCTGTTTTGAATACCTTAGTAATATAATTTTAACTCTGTGTGGCTTTGTGAGTTTGGCATTTGTTGAATGAGAGTCAAATAACCTCCTTTTCTCCCTCATATCCACAGGTAGCTTATGTGTCCAAGGATACTCCCATGCTGCTCTACCTGAACACACATGCTGCCCTTGAACAGATGAGAAAACAAGCAGAGCGAGACAATGAAAGGGGGCCAAGGGTAGGTTTGAATAAAAGCACTACTATTTTCAAGGGACTTTTTACAGTGTGTAGCTTATCAGATGCCAGTGGATCCGTTTTACATTGACAGTGAGCAATTAATCATCCCTCAGGTGATGGTGGTTGGACCTACAGATGTGGGGAAGTCGACAGTATGTCGGCTGCTGCTGAGCTATGCTGTAAGGGTGGGCAGGAGGCCAACACTGGTGGAACTGGATGTTGGACAGAGTGGGGTAAGATGAAAGGGAGTTCTCATAATACATATCCACTGAGACTATGGAAATTAGTAGAATTTAAAATAGCTATTTTAAATATAACACTAATATTACACACCCATTGCCTATGGTGAACAAAAGTCAATGCTTTTCCAAGCTGCAGCCTACATCCTCCTCTTCACTGAGTGTACAGAATGTGAACACAACACACAGAAGAATTGTTTTACTGGAAATAATATTTAATTAAATTTGCTAGGTGTGAGACAAACGAAATTACTTTGTTTATGTGAAGCAGGAGTACTGCCTAGCTGTATTGGCTATGTTACTACAGGTAGTGCTGGTGTGCCTCAGGGGTCCCAGTTTTTTTTTTTTTTTTTAAACAGCACCTTTTAAGATTTAGCTTTGGTTTGGTGGTTTTAAAGTTCCTTTGTGAAAGTGCCACATACCTCAAAACATCCAGTATACACTTCTTATCAGCATATGGTGTGAAAGACTTTCTGTTCCCTCAGGTGTCTGTACCTGGGACAGTGTCAGCACTGTGCATCGAGCGTCCAGCAGATGTGGAGGAAGGGTTTTCAGTCCAAGCTCCTTTGGTCTACCACTTTGGCTCTACTACTCCAGGGACCAACATCAAACTTTACAACAAGGTGAGATTGTGTAACAGTATGAAGCATAAAAACACCCACACTGCCAACCTAAGAATTGTTTTGACAGCAGCTATTTTTTTCTCTGCTCACTTTAATTTGTTCTTGTTTAATAATGTGCAGCTGACGTCATGCCTGGCTGAAGTGTTTTCCCAGCGCTGTGAAGTGAACAGGAAGGCCAGCGTGGGAGGCTGCATCATCAACACTTGTGGCTGGGTGAAAGGCTCCGGATACCAGGCTCTGGTCCATTGTGCCTCTGCCTTTCAGGTGGATGTGGTGCTGGTGCTGGACCATGAAAGGCTCTACAATGAACTCAAACGAGACCTTCCTCACTTTGTGCGTGTTGTGCTCCTCCCCAAATCTGGTGGGGTGGTGGAGCGCTCTAAGGAGTGCCGGCGTGAGACTCGAGATGAGAAGATCCGTGAGTATTTTTATGGCTTCCGTGGAGTGTCATTCTACCCTTTTTCTTTTGAAGTGCGTTTCTCAGACGTCCGCATCTACAAGATTGGGGCACCGTCCATCCCAGACTCATGCTTGCCGCTGGGAATGTCTCAGGATGACACGCAGTTAAAGCTGGTCCCTGTGACACCAGGGCGTGATCTCACATATCACGTTTTGAGTGTGAGCAGTGTGGAGGATGGAGACGAAGGCGCTAGAAAGAGTATAGTGGAGAGCCCTGTGTGTGGCTTTATTGTTGTTACTTATGTGGACACGCAAGCACAGGTGATGAAAGTGTTGTCCCCAGCACCTAGACCACTGCCCAGACACACACTGCTTATCATGGACATACGCTTCATGGACATGAAATGAAGTAACACTTAGGAGGAGAGGACGTGGTGGCAAAAGAAGCAGAAATCTGGTGAGGGAGGAGTTCTTTTCAGAAGAATTTTATACAAGAGGAGTTGAATTTTGTTTCTTAGATATCTTTTATGCACTTTGTAAGGACTACAAAGAGTATAACAGAAAAATAAGTTTAGAAATTGGTAACTGCTGTAAAATCTACACCACTTTATAGACTATGCTGTACAAATGTTTGGTCTGTTTGTGGCAAATAATATTTTTTCACTGTAGGAATCAATTTCTTGATAATCTGTTTTATGAACATTGTTTTTTTCTGAGTAATAAATTTTTTAATGTAAAAAGCATTTTGTATTTTGTGTTAATTATAGTTTAATGGTCAGCATATTTTCCTGTTCTACATATCAGTTTACATTCATTTGCCTATGTTCAGTACCAAAGGGAATCATTCTGAACAACATCTGTGTTTATTGGTGTTATTTTCTCTACATATTTTTTATGCTTTTAAGCATTTTTAATATATACAGTATGTGTCTTGAAACATTACATTTTTGTTAAGGTTGCTCTGTTCACACATTACATTATTAATACCTCTGTCCTGATTTTCATTTATACCATATTTTTATTGGCCATTGTCTTTGCAGTCACTCCAGGCATTCACTTTAATCAGCAGGGTGTAGCTTCATCGTAGGTGGATCTGTTGTGGGAGTTCTCAGTTGACCATCTGGGATCTGTGAAGAACACTTTCCAAAGAACAGTTTTACCAAATGCAAATCATTAGACAATGATATCAAGCACACTTTCAGTTGAAACTGTTCTGTTGGGAATAGGAAATAATATATGTATGTGTGGTTATTGCATAACACCACATGGTAATGGATTCTGTGTTCATGCAGAGGTAAGTTTTAAAGCATCTCTGTACACTGGAAGAGGAATAGTATTTAATATCAGTTTTCATTCTGAGCAATTCATTTTCATTTTTTCAATGTTTGATTGTGTTGTGTGTTTTTAATCTGTGGTCAATTGTGCTTACATGTCAATGATGGTAAAATTTAAATGATTTTTTTATTACAAAGATACTAGAATTCACAGCCCTGTAGCACTTGTGTCAAGTGGAATTTGGCTTCTTGATTTACTCTGTCTTGGATTGTGTATGTTGCTTAGACAAAAGTATTTGCCAAATAAATAAATGTAAAGGCACATTTTCTTCAGAGATTACAGAAAGTAAGAACAAACAAAACTTATGTCACAACCCTTGAAAAGGTTATGAACCCTGACTTGTGTATGTGAACTTTCCAAGAAGACAGAGAATTATAAATGAATAATCTATTAAGGAGTTTCCTGTATTACAATAACAACCAAGATATCTTGCGCCATATGTTCCTTGTAGAGAGATACAGGTTGGATACAAATTAGAGGAAAAACTAACCTAAAGTGCCTTAGTAAGGTTTCATTCTGGAAGAGACCAATCCCATCACAAATGCATCATCACAAGATTAATTTGATCGCTCAGACCAACTTTGCACTGATTTGCAGTCACCCTTAACTCTATGTTCACAAGTGGACCCAAACTGTGCCAGCATCTACATTCCTTTTGTTTCTCCACTCATTTATTCAGGTTTTTCCTCTTATTTGTCACCCTTGCGTACCTTTCCGGATCCTGATGATTAGAAATATTTAAGAATTAAATGTGTTGTAAGGACGTTTGCGAATTATTTTAAGATGTAGTGAAGGTATTTTGTGATTAAAACATAATAAAGGCTACAATGATTTTTTTTATTATTTGTTATTTGAGTTGTTGGTTGAGACCACACCTTCTCGCTCTCTGATTGGCTGTTAATCCCACCTGAGGACAGCGGACGAGTTCCGGGATTCCGATGTCGGCCTAGCCAGCAAGCTAACTAGTTTCCTAGCGGCTAACTCTAGGAGGACCGAAACGACTCAAGCTCTACAGGCAAGACAACTCGTATAATCGATATTAGGTTATTATTTTACACACTCTTCGTAGTGACTGGTTATCTAGCCATAGTTATCTTGTCAGTCGTCAATGAAATCTACTCGAGTAAGCGAGTGGAAATCTCCCATGCTAGCCAGGTAATGTTAGCTAACTCTCCTAGCTGTGGGAATGGATTGAGCGCTGTCGCAAAAAACTTTGTAGGCTAGGTAATAGCTAGCTGATTACTAAGTATGGGTCGTGTTTACCTAGCTCATTATCACTCTCCTGAACTAAAATGTCACATCGCCTATTTTCCATCTTGAAAAAGTGTAGTGTATTTTAGTGAGGTTCATTAAGGTAGCGTTAGTTGTCTTGACTGCATCCTAGCTCTGTCCTGGCCTGTTTAACGCTTCGTCTGTTGCAACGTATAAGATGAAGTGATGGTCAATTTAATGTTATAACGTTAGATTAAGACAAGACATCGCGTAACAATCGTCAGCGTGTCACTAATGTCCTGAAAATTATTACAATTGCTCGAACGGCCACTTCACGACGTGGTTTGTGTGCTACAGATTTTTGCGAAGACATGTCAGTCAGAACTACACACAGAGATTTTAGGATTAACATCCATTATGGTTGACAAGGATCTGTTGCTGAGCAGATGAGATGATTAACAACAGACACCCTGTTACGGTCACAGCTCCGTGTTTGTTAGTACTGGTAGGTTACTGAAAAGAGGGGTGTGTCCAAACTATCAGATTACACTGTCACTCCAGGTCCGTTTTCAGTGTCATCACGTCGCACGGACTATAGTTATTCACCTGGTTTATTAACTCGGTGTGTATGTGTGGCACAGATCGTTGTCTCCGTGGTGTTTTGAATTTCCAGTAGAGGAAGGTGTTTAATTTGCTCACCCGAGGGCATTGAGGTGGCATGTGACAACTGTCTAACACAAGCTGTTCAGGATTTATTGAGAGATTTGAAGTGAAGCCTCTTGTCTTCCAGATAACTTTGCTATGGAAGAGGATTGGGTCCATTGCATAAAACTGATTTGAATTCTGGCTTTAATCTCAGAATTCTGACATGCTTCTCTGAATTCAGAGTTTAAAGTCTGGATTCTGGGAATAAAGTCAGAATTCAAATAAATTGTATGCAGTGGCCCTAATCCTCTTCCATACTATGCTCTGTAATTTAACATGGAAATTAACTTTTCGCAGTGAAGTTTAAATCTGTAAAATGAAACATGGCAATTTTCATATATGGCAATATTATTTTTTCCAGTTATCAACGGGGTAATTCAACAGCCAGCTCACTTTTTTTTCCCACTACTGAAATCAAATATTGTTTGGATAGATAGCACTGTTTAAGTGGGTTTTTTTGCTTTCAGTGTTCAGATGGAAGGTTTGGAAAGCTACAGTCTTTTCTTCTACACAGCCTGGAGGTGTTTCTTCGGTCATTATCCTGCTATAGGATGAAATCCTGAAACCCTTTGTTAGTTCCCTTTTTCCAAATAATGCTTCAGAGGGTGTAGTAACAGTCTTTTCCAATGCTGCCTTTGTAGAGATAGACTCTTATTGTAACAAAAGTTGGATCACTTGTAGGAATTGTTTGCATCAGTTTTCAAGGCTTAATTTCCTTCCATTGCTGAAGAAAAGATGCAAGTTAACGTGATCCCTGAAAAAAGCCTGTTTTGCATGAAATGCACCTCCATTGTTACCTTTTGGTGACTTTGTTCGTTTGCTTTACCTTTGGCGGTTTACTTCAACAGTTTACTTATCTATGTACCATTTAAGGTTATTCACTTGAACTGCTTAAACGTCAAAATACAAACTGTACATTCGGTCTTAAACTTTTGACTAGTAGTGTAGCCTATATTATCTGATTTAATCTGACAAATAGTTTCTTTATTGTTTGAAACAATGACAAATCAAATGCCCATCACAGTTTCCGAAAACCCAGCATTTTCATATTACCTTTATTAGCCAGTAATAATTTCTGATTTACTGTCATGCGGGAAAAGAAAAGGGGCACGTCCTTACAACTGAGAAGTGGGAAGTAGACAATACTTGGCACATGAATTTGAAAATCAATTTATTATTCTAGTTATCGAAATAGAAACATGTTAAACCAATCAAATACTTTTCAGCTGAAATTATTTGTCAACTTAGACTTTGCCTAGAGATGTTGTGTAATTATTATTATTTTTTTTTTAATACAGGGGCATCCAACAACTTACCCACAGAGCCAGTGGGTGAGAGAGCAGGTGGACACAGAGAAAAAAGGACTAATATGCATCATACTACATAACACTGCTGCACATGGCTTTCTTTAAGCAATGCAAAATGGGAAAGGAGGTTTATCTGCAGAGAATTTGGAGGTGGGAGAGGTCTCTACACCCAGACCTGGCCAAGTGCAGTGACACCTTGGTGACATACGCTGGGTTTGTTTTTGGAATGAGTTGATTTTGTCCCCATATTGATTCAGAAACTTAAAAGCAGGGGTCCCAAAAGATCCAGGGGATTCTGCTTGGTTATTTGAGCTATTTTACTTGTAAAGGCAAGGCTGGTTATTTTTATTATTAGAATTTCTTTTTTTTTTTTTTTTTTACATTTTTAGCAGCTTTTAAAAATCAATTCCAGCTGAACTTTAGTTTGATGTTAAGCAGCTTCAAGCAACTGTTTCAAAAGTGAATTAGTTGTGTAGTTGTTGTTTTCCCCCTGCTGACTTAGTTTGGTCCTCATCCATAGTTTCTTCCACCCACCCAGTGCCTAAATAAGATCCCTCGGGACAATCACAGAAGTCATCAGCAGCTGCTGTGCTCAGTCCTCTGTCCCTGTTCGCCTCTGTGTGTTTCTGCTCTCGGCCTGCAAGCTCTCCACCCACTACCTCTCTTCTGTTCTGGTCTTTTAATTTTATATTCCTTTCTTCTGAGAGGCATAAACAAGCACAGTTATGAGCATTAACATAAACACAGAGTTTGACAAGTGGTGATAAACCTAGATTGCTGCAGTTTTTGTTGTGTGTACGAGCATCTTTGCTTTTGTGTACATGCACAGCAGTGTTAACATTTGCACTGGTGCCAAGGAGCTGCTTAAGTGTAGATTTATCTACATTACTGCACCAAATACAGTTACATTAAAGCCATACAGGAATATTTTTGAATTACCTACACATATTTTTGTATCATATTGCTCACATATAGTTTTGCTTTTGTAAGCTTCTATTAAGATTGTGCAAACAAATTAAACACAACAGGCTGTACACATCCAGGTAGAGCTGTATGTCATATTAGTGCCAGGGGACATTTAGTGTCCGGACACAGAGAATTCCTCATTTCCATTGAGTTGCCACTTTGCATAGTGTTGGTTTCCTCTTCCAGTCTGTAGTCATGGCCTCTCTTCCCCAGCACCATATTCACCATTTTGATCTGTAAAGCCCCTTTTAACAGTAGGTAGACAGTAGATATCTACCTCTCTGTCTTCCTCCCCTCTCTGTCTCTGATGCCGGGCTTCAGCAGTGGGGGGGTTGGGGGAGGAGTAGGTGGCCCTGCTTCTACTCCTCCCCGTCCATTTCGACCCAGTCGATATGTTCC